TATATATATATATATATATATATATATATTCTTACGTATTTATAAATATATTTATTTATTACATACTTATTGTACTATCCGCATCGGACACCAAGCTCAAGTTCGGTGACCAAGCACCGCATGACTTCGGATAGGCGTTACATGACATCGGCCAAAGCAAAGACCCACTATCTAAATGGGCCGTGACTAACCTCAGGCCCAGGTCAACCTTGTCCTCGCCCAAGAGGAAAACCCTAATTTACACAAGGTACGTGCACTATATATATGAGACGCTTACACTATCAAACACTAACTTTAGCATCAGAGTCTCTTTCCCACTTCGGAGCAACCGACGTACCCAGCAAGGAAAGCTCACCAGTCACCAATCTTGCCCAGCAGATCGTCCCTCTCAATCGATCTCCGGTAAGAACATTTGCCGCCCACCGTGGGGCTGATCAAGAAGTCTTTTATCGGCCACGCTTATGGTTTTCACCCGAAGCCATAGTAGAAGAGCAACAGACGAAGCAGAACAAGGATCCAGGATGGAAGGAGAAGCGACCCTACAACGGCTAATCGAACAGGTCGAACAGATGTAGCAGCGGCACACTACCGACTTGGAGAAAATGCGCACCTGCCATGAGGTTGATCTGGCGGCGCTACATGCAAAGAACGAGCGTATTCGGGCTCAACTCCATCAACAGCCCCCACATGTACCTCCTCAGCCAAGCAATCACCACGAGGAGGAACACCAATCAGTCTCTCCACCACAGACAACACCCAAGACGCCCACTCACCGATCAACGACACATCGGTCACGTGCACCGACATAGAGATCGGATCAAGAAGTCAGCAATGCACCAACCTTGGCTCCGTCACAATGGGCCAATGTTCCCCACCACCCCTTCGTGGACAACATCATGGAGACACCTTTCCCCTTCGGATGGAAGCCCCTGAACATCGACAGATATGACGGGTCCACCGATCTTGACGAACACATAGATCTCTATGTCACCTAGCTGAACCTCTACACCAACGATGATGCCATCCTGTGTCGGGTCTTCTCGACCTCACTGAAAGGATCGACACTCGCGTGGTATACCCAACTACCGCTAGGCTCGATCAACAACTTTGTCACCTTGGTCAGGCGATTCACAGCACAGTATGCAACAAGATGACCCCACCACATCACCTCGGCTGCCTTAGCCAACCTTAGGCAAGGCGACGACGAGTCGCTCCGAAATTTCAAGGAGCGATTTGCCAACATCGCCATCAAGATCCGCAACCTGAACCCTGAGGTCGTCCTACACGCCATGCTCATGGCGCTCAAGCCGGGTCCCTTTATCGACAGCCTTTATCGGCGACCTCCCCCAGATATGGACGAGCTCCGTGCTTGGGCTGCCAGATACATCCATATGGAGGAGCATACGACATTTCGAGATTAAATCCGTGGAAAGCCACAGGGAAAGCAAGACCACAGTCACAAGGACAAGATGATAGTCTCCAATGACAACTAGGTCAAAAAGCCTCGGCAGAATAAAGGCGAGAAGTATGACTTCTATACCCCCTTGAACGCGCCCCGAGTTCACATACTAGAGGAAGCCAGTAAGACTTATCTGATTACCCTACCACCACCAAGGCACAACCCCAACAGTGCTGACAAATCCAAGCATTATCGATACCATAGAAACTATGGCCACACAATCGAGGAATGTCGAACACTTAGGGATCGTATTGAGGAACTCGTCCAAGGAAGACACCTCGGACAGTACGTCCAATGGTCACAATCTCATAGGGGAGGCTACCATGGACATGGTTGCAGATGAGGACGAGGTCGGGGCTTCAATGCCTAGACAGACCAACCTTCCGGATCCCAGCAAAACATCGATGCAGCAGTGCAAGTCGAGGTAAGTCATGATACAGGTAACACTGCTTTATGCAGAGTCATCAATACGATTGTAGGTGGCTTCGTAGGGGCTGGCTCAAGTAGCTCAGCACGTAAAAGACACTTGCACAGTATCAACAACGTCCATGTTGACACCTCAGCCCTGCCATGTAACACACCACCAATCACCTTCACGGATGATGACTACGTCGGCATCTGCCCAAACCAAGATGACCCCATGATCATTACTGTCGAGGTGGCCAACTAGGAAGTCCACAAGACGTTGATTGACCAAGGAAGCTCAGTTGACGTCCTATATTGGCCAACATTTTTAAGGTTAGATATCCCTTAGTCTCTTATCCAACCTCACACAGAACCCCTAGTCAGTTTTGCAGGTGAACGTGTCCACACTCGGAGATACATAGAGCTGCTAACAACCTTTGGGACCCCGCCCAACTAAAAAAGAATCATGGTCAGATACCTCCTTGTCGACGCCAACACGTCATATAACATCATTATAGGCAGGCTGACGTTGAACCAACTCGGAGCGGTGGTGTCCACCCCACACTTGACGATGAAATTCCCCGGGAGCAATAGGCAGATAGTCTCCATTAAGGCAAATCAGAGGACAGCTCAGCAATGCTACGCCAAAAGCCTAAAAGCTTCATCACCAATAGCGAAGCAACACCGAGGTGAGCCTACCACCATAGCTCACATAGCTCAGGTCAAAATTACCTACCTGGATCCCAGATCAGAGTCCCACGATAAATGACCGAGCCCCATCGATGAATTAGACGATCTCCAAATTGGCAAACTCCTAGGCCAATGCACAAAAATAAGCCAACAACTAAGCCCAGATCTGCGACAACAACTCATAGCCGAGATCTCCAAAAATGCAGACCTATTCGCATGGTCCAATGCTGACATGCCAATTATAGACCCTAACCTCATCTGTCACAGGTTGGCAATCCACAAAGAGGCAAAACCAGTGGCTTAGAAGAAACGAAAGGTCGGCAGAGAAAGACGAGAAGCCATCATAACCAAGACACAAAAGCTAATGAGAGCAGGATTCATCCGAGAAGTCCGATACATTACGTGGCTAGCCAATGTAGTGCTCGTCAAAAAGAACTCGGGGAAGTGACATATGTACGTCGACTACACCGACCTGAACAAAGCTTGCCCTAAAGACGCCTACCCCCTACCAAGCATTGACAGGTTGGTCGATGGAGCATCCGGTCACGCCCTTCTTAACTTTTTGGATGCATACTTTGGATACAATCAGATCATGTTGTACCAACCGAACGAGAAGCACACGGCTTTCATCACCGATCACGCCAACTTCTGCTACCATGTGATGTCTTTCGGCCTCAAAAACGCGGGAGCTACTTATCAAAGGCTGATAGACAAGGTCTTCCACCAGCAGATCGGACAAAATATGGAAGTCTACGTAGACGACATGGTCTTGAAAACCACATCGACCGACGCCCATGTTGCTGACCTAGCCGAGGTGTTCAACCAGATACAAAAACACAACATGCACCTAAACCCCGAGAAGTGCATCTTCAGAGTCCAGAGAGGTAAGTTCCTCGACTTCATGATCACCAATAGGGGCATTGAAGCCAATCTAGAAAAATGCAGGGCCATCATGCAGATGCACAGCCCCCAAAACGTTAAAGATGTCCAACGATTGGCAAGCAGGTTAGTCTCTCTCTCATGCTTCATCCCTAAGCTGGCAAAAAAAGCAGGACCCATCTTTACCCTACTACGCAAGCCAAAGAACTTTGAATGGACTAACCAATGTGAAGAAGCTTTCAAAAGCTTCAAAAATTTCCTTGCCACCCCATGAGTCCTGTAGAGGCCAGATCATCACTTTGACCTCCTTCTGTACTTGGCAGTCAACAAAAGTGAAATTAGCGTGGTGATGTTACAAGAGCGTGACAAGAATCAAACTCCTATATACTACATTAGCCGAGTTCTCCAAGACACAAAGAAGAGGTACCAAACGATTGAGAAGTTGGCCTTTGCATTGGTCACCTCTGCCCGACGTCTTCGTCCCTATTTCCGAAGTCACCAAGTCGTGGTAAAAACGGATTACCCAATAAAACAAATACTGAGAAAGCCAGAACTCGCAGGGTGCATGATTGCGTGGTCAGTAGAACTATCCGAGTTTGGAATCCGATATGAAAATCGAGGCCCTTTGAAAGCCCAATGCCTAGCAAATTTTGTGGCCAAGCTCACCCCAATCTTAGCAAAAGAAGAGCAGGTATGGGCTTTATATGTTGATGGATCTTCCAACACTAAAGGTGGTGGTGCAGGTATCATTTTAGAAGGGCCCAACAACGTCACCATAGAACAATCTCTAAAATTCAGGTTCAGGATCACCAACAATCAAGCAGAATACGAAGCACTACTAGCAGGATTGAGGCTGGCCCGAGACATCGGAGCACAAAGGGTGAGTTGCAACAGCGACTCAAAACTCATGGTAGAACAACTCAACGGGACCTACCAGACAAAGGATGCCCTACTATAGAGGTACTATCACAATGTCCCAATGGGTCTCATCCTTCAAGGAGTTCACCATACATCATGTACCCTAAGAGCAGAATGTTAGGGCCGACCTCCTATCCAAGCTCGCCAGCACAAAACACCCCGGGCAACATCAGACCATCATCCAAGAGACCCTCAACTCTCTCAGTCTAGACGATAAAGTCGTCAATACCAATGACATCGAAGACAAGGGATGGATGACAGACATATGGAACTACTTAAAGGAGGGGATACTACTTGAAGACAAAGACGAAGCTCGAAAGATGAGGGTAAGATCATCTAAATTTATCATCATTACAGGTGAACTTTTCAAATGAGGCATCTTAGCTCCCTTACTAAAATGCCTAACCAAGTCTCAAGCCACCTATGTCATCGAAGAATATGCGGTATTCACTCCGGGGCACGCTCGATGGCGACCAGGGTGATCCGAGCTGGCTATTATTGGCCCACGCTGAAGTCAAACTGCAAAGATTACGTACAAAGGTGTAAAGAATGCCAACAATTCGGTAATGCACATCGGCAGCCACCCGAAGTCCTCCACAAAATGGCGTCCCCATGGCCCTTTGCCTAGTGGGGAATGGACATCCTCGGGCCATTTCCCCCTGCGAAAGGCCAACTAAAATTCCTCCTCGTCGCCGTCGACTACTTCACCAAGTGGATCGAGGCCTGCCCGCTCGCCAAAATCACCGCCAAGAACGTGCAAAAGTTCACCTAGAAGAACATCATTTGCAGGATCGGCATCCCGCACTCCCTCATCACCGATAATGGTAGGCAATTCGTCGCACAAAGCTTTGAGAGTTTCCTCCGAGAGCTCGGCATCAAGCACCTCCCCACCTTGGTGGAACATCCCCAAACCAACGGTCAAGCCGAAGTCGCGAGCAAGGTCATACTCTGAGAACTCAAAAAGGGACTAGGAAATGCCAAGGGACAGTGGGTTGATGATGGAATCATGCTTTGGAGTGCAAGAGGTGACTTTGCCTATGCAATACACAAATATGTTTACTATGTAATAAATTGTATAATAAATTATATATAAATAAATACTATATTTGAATATATAAATCACATTTAAAATTGTATAAATAAATATTTTAAAACATATAAATTATATAAACAGATGAAGAAGGAAGAGTGCGTGAAGTCTTTCCTGGAAGATTGTGATTGCATGGCAGTGTTATATTCAGACGGCAAGTGCAAAAAATACACACTTCCGCTAACATATGTCATAAGGAATCAAAGTGCATCGACCGTGGCTCTCTTCAAGAGGCCTTCAGGAATTGTCCCAAGTCTATTTCCAAACAACTCCAAACATATGCCTCAGCCTGGGCCTGGGCCTATGGTGATTGTGGATAACAAGAAAAGTCTGATAATGATTCTAGCCTTTGCGTTGGGTTTCATTTCATTGATATCCTTGGTATTAGCGGTGTCCATTTTCTTCACTTATAAGCGAAAAGCTTATAGGTATACAACGTTGTACACAAGTGAGAGTCTGGGATTTACTGATGAATGTTCTTTGCGTTCATTTTCTTTCGATGAACTTGAGAAATCCACTGGAGGCTTCACGGAAGAAATAGGCAGAGGATCGTTTGGTGCGGTTTATAGAGGCACAATTGGTGTCAGTAACAAAAGTATCGCTGTCAAGAGGCTGGAGAGAATTGCTGATGAAGGGGAGAGGGAATTCCGAACTGAAATTACTGCTATTGCTCGAACACATCATAGGAATTTGGTTAAGCTCATTGGTTTCTGCATCAATGGATCCAGGAAGCTTCTTGTTTATGAGTATGTCAGCAATGGGTCTCTTGCAAGTCTTCTCTTGAAAAGTGAGAAGAAACTATCATGGGGAGAGAGACTAAAAATCGCATTGGACGTTGCCAGAGGAGTCTTGTATCTACATGAAGAGTGTGAGGTCCGTATTATCCACTGCAACATAAATCCTCGGAATATACTTATGGATGAAGCGTGGACTGCAAAGATCTCTGATTTTGGATTGGCAAGGCTTTTAAAGTCGGACCATTCGATAATGAAAAAAGAGGATGATGGCACAAGCAAGTACTTGGCACCTGAATGGCAGAAGGATGCACCGATATCAGTAAAATTTGACATTTACAGTTTCGGAATGGTACTATTGGAGATCGTGTGCCGCAGACGCAGCATAGAAATGAATGTTTCCTCGGCAGAGGAGATACTTCTTTCCAGCTGGGTATATCAATGCTTTGCAGCAGGGCAGTTAAATAAACTTGTGACAGAAGAAGGTGTAGATTGGATATTATTGGAAAGAATGGTGAAGGTGGGGTTGTGGTGTGTGCAAGACAAGCCGTCTCTTCGCCCTTCAATCAAGAATGTCATCTTAATGTTGCAGGGATTGAAAGATATACCAATTCCTCCCTCTCCAGCTCACCACCCTAAATAAATATCCTTAGGAACATGTTTTTCCCTTTATAACTTTTCTTTGTATTCAAGTTTAGTATGTGTTTCTTTTTCATCTTGCACTGTTGTTCTTGTTATTTGTGTCGTGCGTTACATGAAAAATAAATTATTATAATTAATAAATTTTATTTTAATAATTAATATATAAAATTATGAAAATTAATTAAATTTAATATATCATAAAAAAATATCTAAATATATATATAAATAAAATGATAGTGATAAACGATTGAAAACATGATAATATGAAGTATTAGGAAAATTAAATTGTATTATATCTCAACTTCAAAAATATCATTTATAATATGAGCTAATGCATTAATTTGAAGAAAAAAAATCTTATAATTAACTTATAAGAAGTGTAATATTAAAATGCTATAAAGATGTAATAATTTAAATAGAAAAAAAATAAAATTAAATTTTTTACCTTATACATTAATTATCAAATGACTCCTGAACACATCTATCATGAAAAATAAAGTTGGTAAAATGGCTGAAAAATTGGTAAAATTAGAACTAAAGTATATATGTTTTTCTTTTGTAATATTATAAAAAAAATGCAAGTTACCTATGTTAGAGTCTGAAAGATTTCTTTATAAACTACAGTAGTAGTCGATGTTGAACCATTTACTTCATCGTCACAAATAAGAATTTTTAGACCATTGCGAGATGTGACTCAAGATATTGCGACATATAATTGACCATATAAGAAAACAGGTTGTGGAAGATAGATGACATAATGCTTCAATGATTATCCTTGACTTTTATTTATTGTCATGGAAAAGAAGACATTTTATTGGAAATTGTCTACGTTGAAATTTGAAAGGAATTCTCTTATTTGATGGAATTAAGGACAATCGAGGAATAAAAACCTTTTGTCCAATATTGTTGTTTGATATCACTTTTGCCTCCAAAATATATTTACCCAACTCAGTTATGATAAGTTTAGTTCCATTACACAACCCAGAAGATTGATCTATATTTCTCAACAACATTATCGAACACTGACTTTCAATTTTACCTCATGATTTGAAAGTCCGGAAGCAGTGATAGTATTAAGGAATTCAAGGGTATGAACATCATTAGGTGTACCTAATTGCCCTTCAGTAGAACATGTACTATCTGAACTCAAATATGACTTTAATTCTCCAGGAATCAATGATAGTATGTAATCATTTAATTGGTTAACAATTTCATTTGTTGGTGTTAATATGGCTCTATGTTGGAAAAATATGTGGTCAGTCATGTTTCCCAACAATGATGAATAAGTGCTATCAACAATTGATGAAAGAGGGTCACCTGTATTCTTTATAAGCAAATCTTCAAGAAATTCAATGTTCATTTCTTCATCATCTCGTTGACCAACAGTTCCATCATCGATGCTCAACACCCAATCTATCTTACCCCCAATAGAGGTGAATGAAAACATCATGTTAAATGATCTAATATTCTCCAAGAATAGCTTACTCTTTGTGTCATTCTTGAAGTAAAGATCCATCAAAGATTGAGGTTCAGACAACAAATCAGGAAGCTTTATTTTACCTTGCATGCAACACAAAGAGAATTAGAGTTTGCTGGATTGTAACCTTTTTGCACTCTCTCAGAATACCACATCATTGCTCCACATTCTTGGCATTCACAACTAGGATTACCAATATCGCAATAAACTATTTATTATTATTATAAGAAAATAATAAACCTTCATGTAATAGATTAATGGTTAAAATATGAAACTTAAAATAAAATACAATATTGAAGACATACAATTGGTAGTGGATACATCTTCATGTATACCATCAATGAGTACATTTTTCTCTGAAGTTCTTATTAATATATCATTGTTCCATATTAATTTTTGTGGTTCTTTCCCTTATGCATGGTTATTATGATTTGATTCACATTTTTCGAACAACTTGTCATCAAATTCATTGTTTTGATTTGATGTGTAGTTTGCTCTTTGGCTAGATAATATCTTAACTATAAAATAACAACCTAAAAGGATAATCAAATAAGAAATGGTAAATATAAACATTATAAAATTAAATAATATAGTTATATTAAAAGAAATAAGACTCCATAAATTACCATTTGTGACATTCGACAATGAAGATTGAGTAAATTGTTCTGTCATACATACACCTCTTCTAACAACTCTATTTAAGATAGTGTTAGATCAATGTACATTATGTGTGCTATCATTAACTAAAAAAAAACTAACATTGTAAATAAGTTTCTCCATAAATAATTTTGAGAAATAAATAATAGATCAAAAAATTTTGTTTAGTACTAACCTGTTAACCTGACAGTTGTTACATCAGAAGATTGAGACATATTACATCGACGTTGCATAGGTGCAACTTTACCAAATAATAGTTTATTTCTAGCAAAAGAGGGGAAAACATTTTGACTGTTGGCACCAAGTAATAATGATAACAAAATATGAATAATCATTAATTTTCAAACATATAAATAGAATGAGACATTTTTTACAAAATTTAATTTTACCATTAGTAATATCCGACAATGGAATACTACATAATTCTACTTTATTAGATGCACTTCCTCCAATAAAATCATTTAGATAATGCTCACGGGAATGATCACTTGGAATAGTATTTCCTGCAATTATAAAATGTACATTCATATATTAATTACATTTTAAAGTGTTTTATATAATTAAATACTTTGACATAAAAATATTTCTTGTTGTTAATATGTAACATTAGGACATACTATCACTCACCATTGGTGACATTTGAATGACACACTCTGACACATTTATTGCGATTACAATATTGAACATCTTCACCAAATGATTTTGAGTTATTTTGTTTTTTACCAACATTATCATCCATAACACTGCTTGTTTCTGAATACTCAATATCTGAAGAAACTAAAGAAAATGTTAAATATCTATTATAAACAATTTATAATGTTTAGCATTGAAAGCAAATTTAAAAAGTTCAACCTGTCAATAAATAAAATTATTTATTTATTTTCTTAAATGACTATTTCTTGGGAGCCAAATCTAAAAGGACAATATTACCAGGGGGTATGTAGTGTACTAACAGAAGCCAAATGCCCACCTATTAAGTTTCATTTTTTCTTTTTTAAATTAACAATTAAAACTTTCTAAACAATCATAAAGAGTTATACAACAATCCTTTGTCTTTTTAATATGAATCAAAATCACAAACATTTAAAAAACTATAATTTGGCAAGCAAATAAAAGGTTAGATAATTTAAAAATCACATGCAGGGTATATGTTTGGCAGTAAATAAATGAGACAATGGAATCTTTAGCATTGAAAGAGGAAAAAAAATGTCATATTGAGAGAAGAATAGTCACAGAGGAAGAAATATATATACAGTAGAATTTTTCAAAAAAAAAAATCAGTATATGTATGAGGCATAACATGTTCAGCTTGGATGGTGATTAAATTTTAGAAACCAATAATCACTCACGGTATATACGATGCAGTAGATAAATCTATCAATCGAATCATTTGTGTTCAAAGAGAGAAAAAAAAAAGAATAACATTGAGAGAAGAATATTCAGAAAAGAAGAAATAAAAAATAAAGAGAGGACAATAATATTATAATAATGTATTTTAATAAAATACTTTAAATAAATAACATAACACATACCTCTTTTAAAGTATAAAATGTTTATCCTCTGTCATATAAATAACTTTGTACTACCTATGACATATAAAAAATGAACAACTTCTAACATAACAATCTAAAAAAAAACTTCTTCATCCACCAAAATCATCTCTAAGAAATTTGTTTACAATGAATTTTTAAACTCTGGCAAAATTAAATCGAATAAGAAAAAATTGAAGTGAAGGACATGTAATGAGTTGACAGCAAAATAGAAATGTCAAATTGGAAAAATCCAGCAACATTACATAGAAATTCATCAATTAAAAATGCAAGAATACAACATGACTACTGTAGTAATTAGTTTTAAACAAAATGATTTGTACATACAAAAGTGACGGTAAGTAAGCCATTTAAGTTACATTTGAGTCACATGTTTTGCACCTTTGGTGGCTGAACATGTGACCTCAAATTAACCCTAAATGACACTCCAAATTACACTTAGATGCACCTTAGGTACCTGAATTTTCGGAGTAGCACATGGGAGCCAAAATTTGAATTCAAATTTCAAATTTGAATTCAAATTTTGGGTGCCACATGTCACCTTTTGATTTAGGCGCCCAAAGTGTGCAAAACCGTGCTTACTAAAGTGTTTCCTTCACCATTTTGTATTCACTTTTGAACATTATAGAAATTTGTGAGCCATTGGCCGAGTTTCCTCTCTCAAAAGTCTCCAACCTCTCACCTTCAAAAACCCTAGGCTAGTTGTCTACTTTCCTACTTTTTGAAGTGAGAATCCATTGATGCTAGAGCTTGGATGCTTCCCTCCTAAACTTTGGAAGAGTGTATCCGTGAGTTCATAGTCTTCAAGTGTTCTTAGTTGTGGAATCAAGTCTCCTTTGAAGAAGATCCGGCCTAAGCAAATCCGTGGAGAAGAACTACCTTCACTTCTCCTAGTTTTGCTATCAGTTGACGAGCTCCCCAGCATCCTCTACGCATATCATTGCACCCACAATCAACAACTCAAGAAACTCCCTACAGGCTAACCTACGGAGCCGACGCCATGATCCTAGTCGAGGTTGACAAGACGTCTCATCGACGTCACACCTTCAACAATGAGCAAAACACTCAAGAAATAGCAACCAACCTCGACCTAATAGACGAACTCAGAGAGGAAGCTTGGATTCAAGAAGAAGCATGCAAACTCCGCGCCTCTAGATGCTACAACACTAAGGTCCGACCGAGGGCCTTCCGAGTAAGAGACCTCGTCTGGCGACTACAAGGTGAGGCAAGGAGAGACCCATCAGAAGGAAAACTCGCACCTAATTGGGATAGCCCATTCTGAGTTACCGAAGACTTAGAGAATGGAGCATACCGACTAGAGGAGCTCAGCGGCAAAACCATCCCGAGAACTTGGAACGCCACTCACCTTAAATTCTATTTTAGCTAAGTTGTAAAAATGGGGCGTTGCA